ACATACATACATACTTACATACATACTTACATACATACATCTACATACATACATACATACATCTACATAAATACATCTACATACATACATATACATACATACATACATATACATACATACATATACATACAAACATCTACATACATATCTACTTACACCTCCTGCTCCACCGCCACCAGTTGCTCCTCCAGAGCCAAGGTTTCCTGCCTCGTTGAATTTCAGCAAGGCCTACTTGAATTCTTGAGAATCGAGGAGGAGAGCACCTGCTAAAAATACGTTTTATTTAAATTTGCAGCACAGCGACAAATAAGCTTGGTCTGCGTTTGGTATTAGAAAACAAACATGCATGCATACATATATACATAAATGCATACATACATGCTTGCATACACTTACAAACACACACACACACACACACTTACATATACACACAAATCTATACTTGTTTGACTAAGTACAATATATAGACATAGGCCAAAATTTCCCAATCCCATAACTCGGTCAAATCTAATCCGATTTTCATGCGGGTTGGCTCTTTGTTCAAGGTTTGGCCTCTTGATCAATTTGGAATCTAAATCTGGCGAAATTTTTCTAGTTCAAGCATTGCGCTCAGAACAAAGAACTTGCTTCCTTTCTTATTAATATATTTTAATTTAAGCGTTTCCTGTTTATGCTTTTTCCCCCTTTCACAACTCTTTTAAATAGACAAGGTTTTTGGCGGGAGTTCGCTTTAGCGAGGCTTCACTGTAGTTTTGCACTTAAAGCCGAAGGCAAGGGACAAGCCAGTGCATGGCAAATAAAAGTTAACAGCATGACCGGAAGCTGCAGCAGCTTCCGTTTCCGGTTTCGGCTTGCAGATAAGCGCTGCAAACAGCCGCCGCGCGCGCAAACTAATGTTGTTGTAGTTATTTTATTTTTTTTTAAATTAAATGCAATGCAAGCGTAATTGAAAAAGCGCCGAGTTCACAAAAACGAGAGGTCCTGCGAACTGCTGCTGGTGTTGCTTTAAGTATCCTGCTTCCTGTTGCTATTTTAATTAAACAAAAAGCGTAAAATGTTTGACCATTCGCCAGGCTGCCGCTGGTGCGGATCCAGCTCCAGCTCCAGCTACAGCTGCTGCCGGGTTTGTTTGTCCAGCGACTTGTCTTTGGCACGTAAATTTTCTTTGCCAACAAGCACGAAATTGTTTGCCCCTTGTCCCCAGCATGTCCTGTGTCCTGTTGCAAAACAAATTAATTGTCTGTCGTTGTTTTCCTATTCTTTTTTTTTCGCATAAACTTTTTCATCCTTGCGGTTGTCCCTGTGCCTGTCCCCGAACCCGTCCCCATCCCCATCCCCGTCTCCGTCTGTGCAATTTTCAGCGCTCTGCTTGTTGCGTAAATTGCGGCCACATTTGTTGCTGTTGCTGTTGTTGCTTTTTATTTGCGCCATCTTTTCTCGTCTACTGGCGCTCGTCTCACTCAAATTTCACTTGGCTTTCGCTTAGCTCATTTGCTGCACAACTTGTTATGGCTTTTGGGTTTCCATTTGCCACCGACCCACTCTTGTCATAATTCAAATGTAATTTCATTGCCACCATCAGCTCCCCCGACACTCATAATTATTTTTTGATTAAAGATGCTGTCCGTCAGTCAGCCAGACAGACAGCCAGTCAGGCATCCATTTGGGAGCTGTTTTTCGCCCTAAAATATATCTCGTAACTGCCGATAAAATGGGTAAACAGGCAGCACCCTTGAGGTCGATTGAGAGTTGGGCAACAATTTTATGATTTCATCTCGCAGTTTTAAGTCTCCAGCTGTGCATATTGTATAATATAAGACATAAGATCTCTTCCACAAACACTTCAAATTTGGTGGACTTGAAAAGAGCACTGTTAATTTATGTGCACATCTTTGAAGCAGTGCTTAGGGGCTTACTTTAAGACATGAAAATCGCAGAGAAAGGCGATGGGAGTAGACGAGAGCTTAGGAATAATTGGCAGGGAGGGAGAAAGGGTAACAGAGAGGAAGACAGAGTGAAAAGCAGAGAGAACGATGGAGCAAAAGAAACGTGAAAAAGAAGGAAACATTAAAACCGAGAGAGAGAGAGGGAGAGATGGAGAGGGAGAAAGAGGGAAAGGAACGTGAGATACAGGAAACGGGAGGGAGATAAGGTACATTGAATATAGGAGAGAGATATAAAGATTGATAGCCATTAAATAAAAGAGAGAGGAAGAGGTAGACAGAAAGAAAGCGAGAGGAACAGAGAGAGAGAAAGGAAGAGAGAGGAACAGAGAGAAAGAAAGAAAGAGAGAGGAACAAAGAGAAAGAAAGAACAAGAACATGTAATATAGAAAGACAGAGAGAGTACAATATAAAGATTGAGAGCCATTAAGAAGAGAAGAGAAAAATAGATAGGCAGAGAGAAAGAGAGAGAGATAGAGAGCGCATGCATCAGTTTAGGCAAATAACCATATTATTGTCAATACCTAGATCGAAATCAAGAAAAATTTGAATTTATCATGAATTACTTGGTATTATGAAAATCGCATAGAAGGGTCAACGATATTTTTGAAATAAAGATGAGGATTTTCTTAAGTAAATGATGAGACGGGCTTGGCTATGTAGACTCTACTTATTCTAGTTACGATTCAAATATGTTTTTAAATTTTAGCTATAATCTTTTGCTTTTCATTAAATTTTGCTTCTATAAAAACATTTCACACATTTCTCTATTTTATTTTATAAGGTGCTTCAGTTCAAAGAAGTTCAATTAGGCCATTTCTCGTTTATAAAGCTTTTGCGATTGAGCTCTTGTTTTTAATTCCAGACTTCAGCAGCTGCTCCGTTGCCTGGTTTTCAATAAGAGCCTTTGAGGCATTTATGATAGGAATTTTGCTGTTTATTATTTTTATTTATGATTTTCTCCGAAATGAATTTGCATAAATGCTGCCCCCCAACTTGCTCGTGTCTGTCAGCTTATTTATTGGCAAGCCGATGTGCAGTCATTTATTTATAAGTCTTGATGCCATTTTTGAGCTTTAAAGCCTTGAGTTTTTTTTTTTTTTTGTTTGGGTTGGGGAGAGAGAGAGGAAATGCAATTAAAGCAACGAGTGCCAGCAAAATGCAATAATAATTTCTCGATTGCCAATCAAATTTGCAACACGGTCGGCAAATTAACACTTTCGCATCGTTATCAGGTTTCAATATTTTATATCCGAGTGCAAAACTTTCAGCTTGAAAATGCAATTATAGGCATTTGTTCGCTACAGACCGGCGGCGGAGGCGGCGACGGCGGATCGGGGGGCGTGGCATGCGCGTAACAACTTTAATTGAATTTATAACAATGCACAAGATACGGCATTATATACGCCACAAAATAAAAACGTCATAATAATTGCTAAAACATAAATACAAATTGCATTTGACGTACACTTTTTGCACTCAAAATTATACACCCCAACAACAACAACAACAACAACAACAACAACAACAACAACAACAACAACAACGTGTATTTTTGTATCGCGCTCATTTGCATTAAAAGAAATTTATAACATTTACAAAAAAAAAAAAAAAACTAGTTAAAAGTTGACAACAATGAAACGTCAAAAAGCTGGCAACGAAAAACTTTTAAGCCGTGACTCGGCAAAAACAACAATACAGATAAATATATATGTGCATAGAGATGTGGCAACTCTAAACCCTTTCATATACCCTGCACCCCATGTAAAGTGGGTATATTGATGTAGGAGGAGGTATACCCAATAGCTTAAAGCATGTGTATTCTTGATACGGACGCGTCGATTTAGACATGAAATTCTGCTTTATATATAAAAAATCGATAATCGATAAATATCGGTCTCTAGAGCGTTAATAGGGTATTATTAAAGCTGAAGACAAAGTTGTTGTATAGATTCTCTAATATCTTCTTCTAATATCTTAACATTTGCTTCATATAAAAATGCATATATAAAAATCGATAAATATCGATTTCCAGGAGTGGCGATTATTATAGCTAGGGATATAGATTGGATATGGTTTATGGATTCTCGTACAGCATGCGTAAAATAAGCGTTAACTGTATTCAAGGTTGCTTTTATATTGCTAAAAAATCGATAAATATCGATTTCCAACCTCAGCTTCGACGTTATCTGTTCTGTTGCGCATATCTCGTGTCTTATGATAACCAGAGACAGCAAATTTAATTTGTAGACTAACAAAGAAAGAACAAGACTATTTTATTTACTTTTCACTCATCCTTTTAGCAGCTAGACGCCGGGTAGAGGGTAACTGTTAGTCGTGCACTCCCACGTTTTTCCGAGTGTGTGTCTCTGTGTGTGCTTGCATTTAATGCGCCCACGCCTAGCTGTTCCAGCTACCTTTTTTGCGCTCCTTTGGCCCCGTTTTTTGTTTTGCCAAACAATAAAAGCAAATTTTTCTAAAATTTCATGTCGCCTCTGGCCTCCAGCCCCGCTGCCCCTCGCCCGACAAAAGGGGTGTGAAGGGTGTTGGAGCAACCCAAGCTATTTGCAATTTAACTTTTTGCCACACGGACACACAGACAGACAGACGGACGGACGGACGGACAGACACAGCCATAGCTAAAGGATGGGCATGGCAAAACAAGGACACGTAGCCCAACAGAGCTTTAGTTTTTAGTTGGCTTTTATTAACTTTTGTCTGTGCGTGTGTGTGTGTGTGGGGGGGGGACAGAGAGAGAGAGAGAGAGGGGGGGGGGTCTTTGTGTGTGCATTGTTGTTGTTCAGACAGTTCCACTTATTTTGGGCATAAAAGTTGCGCTATTACCGAGATTTGAGACGTTGCTGTCGTCCCTCACAAAGGACTGGCCAATTTACAGTTAACTCAAATATTCACCGTCCCGCTCCTGGCAGGAGCCAGGCGCCTCCCTGCCGCCTCCCAGCCTGCCCAGGGTGGTGCAACCCCCTCGCTGCATTAGGCCCGAGCACCACTTTATGCACAATTTAACTTTTGTAGTTTTGTCTTACGTTTATATATATTTTAAAGGCTGCGGCCACGTTTGCGACTCGGCGGCGGCGGCGGGGGTGGAGGTGGTGGTGGTGGCGGCGGGGGTGGAGGAGGTGGAGGAGGCGGCGGCGGCGGTGGTGGCGCTTTGATCGGCTGCTGCTGTGGGTAGTGCTCCTCGGCTGCGAGCAGCGTGGGCCGCGGCGTCACCGACGGCGTCGGCAGCGGAGATGCCCGCACGGGCAGATAATCGATTTGAAAATAATCGGATATGAACCGGCTGCTGATCATGTTCAGTTCGAGGCCCTTGGCCAGCATCGCGAAGAGTCCCTTGCCGCGCGCCTGCTGCTCGCGCAGCTCCATTGTGGCGGCTATATTGGTCGTGGGATCACCCACCGTGGACTTGACGATCAGCTCACAGTAATTGCGGAAGACCTGATGACCGAGCGTCTGCAAAAGAATGGTGGAAACTGTGGCAGACGGCTAAAACCGACTGCTCAATACTCTGTTCACGGTGCGAGTGACGAAGAGTTGCTTTACTGTTTTGGTGGATGACTCTAAAACTGTTCCCCAGTGCAATTCAAACTTCAAGGTAAGAGTGGACGGATGTCTTAAAGAGATCGCTTTAAAAGCTTTAGCAAATGCTAGCCGGAATGGCTTACTCTAAGACTTTAGCCCACATTCAGTGCATATCAAACTGTAATCTGCAGAATAACTGGGAATAGATCAGATCTTTAAGAGGTCTTCATACTATTGAGGTATTTATACTATATACCCATATTCACACTATCTCTTAAAATGTACACCAAAAAATCAGGGTAAATGGATTATTTAATCCTAGATTGTAACCCATGTAATTGGCAGTGGCTTTCAAACTGTGTCTTTTCAATAGTTAATCTTCTGCTTAGCTGGGTTATCTATTCTATTAGAGACCAAGAAATCTGGTCTCTGGATTGTCAGTGCTCTTCAAACTGCGACTTGAGTGTAAATTAATTATTGCTTTATGTGGGAATAGCAGTGGATGTGGCGGAAATATTCTTGGCTAGATCCCGTCAGGGGTTTAACTATATAATTTTGTATGACTACCCGCTATCCAACCCCTGCCCAAGTGGATGCGGACAAAGATTCTCATTGCTAGCTCTAGGATGCAGACAGACGGACATAACACAAAACCAATATACCCCTTCTCAACTTGTGAACAGAGCATAAGACTAGCAGCTAATCGACATTGGGAACACTATGGACTCTCCCAACTTACGGTCACCATCAGATGGGCGACGCTCATGCGTTTGTAGCGCTCGCCAAAGTCAACTGTGGTCATGAAGAAGCAGAACTTGACCAGGAAGGGCACCGCAAAGCAATAACAACGCTGGGCGTAGAGCAGGCGATGCAACAGGAGGAGCATATTATGTGAACGCAGACGCAGACCCATATTGGCCGATTGCCAGCGCGGCAACAGGACGCCCCAGTCGGCGGAATTGAGATTCTGATTGACATCGACCAGGCCGTAGGCGATCCACTTGTAGCAAATGGGCGCCTTAAAGTACGCCGGCAGCGGCATCTCGGCGCCATCGAACTCCAGAGCCAAAATGAAGTCGAAGCGTATGCCGCGATTGTAGGCTCCGCGTTCCGCGGCGAACACCTGATGGGCGAACGGGACGCGATTATAGCTGAGCGCCGTGTACTTGATGTCGTATATGGCGCCCCAGTAGCCGGCTATGCAGGCCACCTGCGCGATGGCGCGCTGTAGATCCTGCTGCAGGCGCAGATTCATGCATTTGGGATTTATTGCGTTGCCGAAGAAGAACGGATGCGTATAGTTTGATCTGTAGAGCTGAACGCTGCGCTGTTTCTCATTAAAGCTGGGCGTCAGTGAGATGGGCAGCCGTATCGTTAAGAATATCTCAAATCCCAGTGGCATATCCATATTTATTTGGCTAACAAATGCCGCTGCAACAGAGAGCCTGCCTCATTATATTAATTGGCTGCAGTTTGTGTCTGCCGCAAGGCTTACCCGTCTTTCGCAGCTCGCCCAGATAGTCCTTGAACATGGAATTGTTCTTGTGCAGCTGATTAACGATGGCATCGATCAGCAGCTTGGCGTCGTGCACGAACCGATGATGCTGCTCCTCGTCCCCATGGAAATTGAATGCCATCAACTCAAAGGTGTCCACAAAGTTGAGCATAGCCATACTGCTTTGACATCTCGTTGCCAAACACACATACAATTGTTCAGTGTTGAGCAATCGAGTGACAGCTTTCGAACGTGGCGTTGCCAGATCGCCCGACCCGAGCGCACTACGATCAAATGGCGGGGGCAGTCGGAGCAGTCGGCGAAAGTTGTGCGCGTGCATTTGGAAATGAATGAAATTCGAATGGCATCCAATTACTACGCGTTTTACTACGTCGCATCGGTGGCCACGTGGCTTCTGCGCACTGGCTTACAGCATCCACGTGCCAAATGTCCACGGCAACGGCAACGGCATCTCCAGCTTTGGCCAGCACAATGTGAATTCAGTTGCTGTTCGACGTTCCTCGCGTGCGGTTGTGCCTGGGCCCTGCACTCAATTTACCAGAGCGGCAAGTGTTAGTCACCTCCCTTTCGCACTCAAACGGCAGCGCAGCGTGTGCGAAAGAGAGCTATTCAATTAACCGTTGTCTTCGAAGGCAGAGAGCGCGCCGGCGCCGTAGCTAGCTGTGGAGTTTGTGTACGAAAGAGCGTGTAAGGTGGCAAAGTGCAATAGCTGGCGAACTGCAATAGCAACAGCAACAGCAACAACAACAACTAGAACAATAACAACAAATATAACGGCAACGTGCGCGCTGTGTAAATAACAAGAGTTATCCATATACATTGCCCGTCTGTGCGTGCGTGTGCGTGTGTGTGTGTGAGTGAGTGTGTATTGGTGTAGATACTACGAGAAACTGCAGTGTAAAAGAACGAAGCGCCCGGCAACAAGACAACAATAACAATAACAACAATAACAAAGGCCAAGTAAGAAATGCTTTACGCGCAAAATCTCGTTGATAAAGTTCTGCCTAATGAAAGCTGGCTCCAGCCAGACTTTAGCCCCTGTTTTCAGCTCCTGCTTCTGCCCTGCCGCGTTGCAAGCGCGCAAATTGAAAATAAATTGAATTGCAGCAACGTGCAAAAATCAAGCGACAACAACAACAGCAACTTTGTTGAATTTTTTGTTGTCTCCCGTGTTGGTAAACGCGCAAAGTGCAAAGTGTCTTTGGCCAAATTGCATGCAAATTCGTTTAGTCGATGGCAGCTCAAGACTTAAATGCGCTTCTAATGGATTTTATTTTTAACTTGCCGCATGTTGCACGTTGCAACAATGTATATATCGAGTGAATGTGTACTAAATGACTATCTAATACGTCGAGAGCATTACGCAGATTACATTTTAATAGGGGTTTTGCGTTTGTTGAAGTTCTGGCAAGTTTTTAAAGCTCGAAGCTTGAATTCCGTTTCAAAAACGGTTTTCCACTAGTTGAATGCGACCAAGCATGTTAATGCTGCTTGTAAATTTAACATGCGGAAGACAACTTTTATAAAACTCTACTATTTTTCAATGTATTCACCTTAGATAGCGAATTTTGGTATATACCTTAGAAAATACTAAGAAAATTACCAGTTTGTGTTGCTTTTAAGAGGGAAATAATTTGAAACCAGCTTTTATTTTACAAGTTGGGTGCATTTACTTTAAAATAAAGTACAGTTAAATCTCTAAAAAGCACATCCTTATTAACTGGCCATATAAAATAGTCCCAAATCTTTTTCTTGGCTTTTCATACATCCGTCGGATGCTGCATTTTTTGTACAATAAATGTAAATAAAATGGAATTAAATTTTTTTGTACAAAACTAATCTTTTTGATAAAAAGTCCTGTTTCTAGAGCATTCTTTCAATAATTCTATTAATTTAACTTTAAATTAAGAAATAAAAAGAAGACGCGAATTTAAGAAAAGTTTTTCAAATAATAATAGTAAATATTTGAAATATATAGGAATTTGGAAAAATATAAATGTAAACCTAATAATTTGAATACATATTAAGTAAATCTAAATAATTTGTTAGCAGATATTTTGATTTCAAGTTTATGCGAGGCAGACTCAAGTTAGCTTTGAAGGCTTTGAAGGCTATGAAAATAAGTCTATTTAAGAGAGGTTACCTTGAATTCCGCACCTAAAGATGTTTTATTTCAATCTAAAGCAGTTTAGTTTACTTCTTCCAGGATTAATTGCCTACAGCTTGTGCTCATAATCATCTTAAACGCTTTAAGCGTAGCTTTCCCCTCACTTCTCAATCCTCAACCGTCCAACCCGCTCTTCAATAAGGCATATGCCCGTGCGGCACTTGAAGCGTATGTAAACCTGCAGCCAGCCTTATTGTTTGCCGCGTCTCGTGTGGCGCGTGTGTCGCCCATTAAGTGCCTGCCCCAGCTTCTGCCCCTGCCCGCAGCCCAATCCTTTCGAGCTACGGCAAATTGAAAGACACGTTTAGCGACGCTTACACGTAGCCAACGTCGTCGTCCTCCGTTGTCGTCCTGCGTCTGACTTTGCAGCTGTTTGCAACCTTTTCGTAATTGCCATTTAATTGTTTGACATTTTCGTTGTGCTCTGGCAAACGTTTTATTTATTTATTTTTTTATTTTTCCTTATATATTTCGGAGTGTGCTCGGAATTGGAAAATGTTCGTTCATGATGTCGAGCTGCGTTTGCCGTGCAATTAGACGCTGGCAGCTGCCAAGTGACTTATTTAGTGCAATTAGGGCGACTTTTGAGGCAGCATTGTTTCAGGCTTAGAGGCAGGCGTTGCACATAAATAATCCTTAGGCCGGCCCAGAGCTCAAGTGGGCAAGAGAGAGGGCGGGCGAGGGGCAGGTGGGGGGAGATGGGGCGTTGCACATTGCCTATTGATTTTATGAACGAGCTGCAGCAGCTGCTGCAACGAGTATATGCAACTATTTTGAACGTTGCCGCCATGACAAACTATAAATCTGTCTGCCGGCATGCACACTATATATACTACTATATATATATATATGCTGCACACGAGGCTGCACACACACGCACACACACACGCACACACAAAATTTATCGATTGCCGCATACACACACTGGACACAGACGAGTGTGTCGCCTGATGCTGCCTGCCGCCTGCTGCTGCTGCTGCTGTTGCTGATGTGTAGTAAAAATCGCTCGTATTTCATGCGGAAGTGACCACACACACTCACACACGCACACACAGTCACGCACTTACAAAATGGCCGCCCATGTGCGTAGTAGTTGTCGTAGTAATTGTTGCAGCCGGCAACGTACGATAAATGGATTGGTTTATTTAAAAATTTGTACGTGCTCGTGCTGCAGCTGCAGCTGCAGCATCCAGTTAACAGTTAACAGTTACTATCATATACAAGCCGCACTCAACAGCTGCAGCTGCGGCCCGCACTGCGTATACGCAATGTGCGTATGCGCAATGCAAAGTTGCGTGCGTAGTAAAAATAAAAGCAAGCTGCAAATGCGACGCCGTTTGTTGCTGTCATTAATTAGCTGGCGCGGCAAGTTTCACTTTTTTTGTTGTCGTCGACCCTAATCCATCATTTACCACAAAAGTCACGTACAGCACAGGCAGCGCTGAGCTTGAAAAGCAAAACTTCCACTCGGAAGAAAGTTCATATAACTTTAACACACACACATACAGTTTGGGTTGCAAGTGGACAGTGAGGGAGGAGGGGAGGGAGGGGGGGGGGGTTAGGTCCTGTGACTGCCAAGTTTGTTGTAACAAATTAAGAAATCACTTTCGCGCCGCCAGCAAAATATGCGCACCGAGAGTTGCCTGCAAGCCAGCTGCAGTTCATATACCCTTTCACTGGGTTATTTGCATTTAGTCACGTTTTGTGTAACGCCTGACATGGCATCAAAAATGTCCTGCTGGCTGCAAATAGAAACTTTTTAGGCAAACTCATTTCTCAGCTTTAAAGCTAGCTTGGTTTAAGAGAAACGTCTTATTATTAAGGCTAATAGATCGCAGATCGGTTTGTTATTTGGCGGCCAAAGGAACTATCTGTTCTGACTGACTTCTAGCAGAGAAAACTTTAATTTGCTTTTTAAGAAGTCTCATCTAAACTCCACAAACGTAAGCTACACTATGCTTCTGTTTATATGAAGTCTTTAATTGCTTTTAGGATATCCAAAGATATACCAAGAGTTTTGTAAAACAATATTTAATAAAACATTCTTGTTTCCTTTTTGGAAATCCCAACCAAACAGAGTAAATATCAGCTTCACTATGATTTCATGATGTGAGAGATATATTGTTATTGTCGGACTATATATATATACCATACATACTATACCTAATATATATACTATTTATACAGAATAAAATATATGTATCTTATAGCTAAAGAAACATTTGTTCGAGGAAGTTTTTCATGCCGTTTTCTGTTTCCATACTTTGTTCATGTCTATTTAGAGATTTGTATCCCTTGAACAAAATATTTAGAAAAGAGCAGCAATTGTTATAAACAGCAAGAAAATTGTATAGTATTTAAAAATGTTTGATTTGGGCGATTTTCTTTAGGTTAAACTTTTTTTTCTTTCGAGTGTATGAAGCTGCCTTTATCTGGCTCGGTTCATAAATATAACTCTTTTCTCATTATAGAAGTGTATTTTATTGCATGGGTACTTGATATTCGCCAAGCCAATTGTTTTTTACATGCTGACAGCTCCCCTCCCCCCCCCACCCATTGTGCTGCAACTCCCCTTCAAAATTCTCGCCCCCCCGTCTGTGAAAAGCGACAGCCTAAAACAGACGCGACCCAAAAGTGTTGCACAAAACAAATGCCAAAAGGGCGCCGAGATATCAAGTTGATATATGAATGGGCCCCCATATACATATACACATACATATTATATAGACCCAACAACATGTATATTTATATATATAAATATATGTATATGTATGTGTATGTGTATATCTGTTGGCTGGTTACGACCTGAACTCGGCTGGCGAACAAACTTTTTTGTGATTGGCGTGTGACATTTTCAGCGCAAAGGCTCGCGAGCTGCCTGCTGGTATTTAAAATTTCTCGCATTTATGTTTATGTCTGTCTATGAACATGATTGATGTGCAGCGCGCGGCGGGCGGGCGGTCTGGTGGTGAGGTGAGCGGGGGGGTTTTGCGTTGAGGTGCCGACAAAATGTCAAGAAAGGTCCAAAGCAAAACGCGTTCGTTGGCAGACAGCGCAGCGTGAAAACTTAAGCTTAAGTTGGGCAAAGTTGAGAGTTCTTCTGGGCCAAATTATGAAGCATACTTTTATGGGCTGAGCCTGGCTCTTACATATACACTTGCAGCCCAACTACTACTACTTACATTTTTATTAAGTGAAAACTATCTATTTTTTTAATAAGTGAAAATTGAGAGCCCGGAATTGCAATTTACACTGTGAATCGAACTTGACACCGAACAAGTTGTCTGATAAAACAGTTTAAACCAAGCAAAAGAGAACGTTGTTTCAAAATTAAACAAACTTTTTTTAGGATTTTCGGCCTTAAAAGTATAAATAACTTGGGTGAAAAGGATTGTATATATCTCAACACAATTAGTAGATGCAAATTTGGGTAGAGAATGGTCTGAGAAAATATGTTAAGTTTTTCATTTAAAGCTCCATTTTGAAAGCATATAAAAAGATGGTATCGATCAAAGCCTGAGCTTAAAGATGTGGAACACCAGCCTCAGAGACAGTTTGTAGACCTCGTTTCTACACATAAGAATAGAGTTTTTTTTGAGCTAAAACTGGTTGTGAATTATAAGCGTATGCATTGAATTTAAATAAAGTCAATGTCTTCTATTTGAACAAACGATACGATGATTGTCTTATGTCGTGCGCTGCAAACGCTTATAATTCACAAACTGTTTTAGCTTTAACAAAAATATGCTTCTCCACATCACAGCTAAGATAAGTTAATCATTTTCTTTAAATT